TTCCAACCTTTGCTCCTGCTCACAGTGAATTAGTCAGTTTAAAAAGGTGTAAAATGCTATTCCGGTTATGCTTAAAATTTTCTCCTAAACTCAGGGTGGATGCCCCCAGGATGAGCCTCACGGTGCCCTAAAACATCCCATCAGAGCCCTGAGCTTCAGGTCGGCCATCCCCCCACAACGGGAGTTCCTAGAAGCCAAGGCTCCTGTCTTCTGTGTCTACGCCCCCACCTGCCCCTCAGGCTCTGGAGCACAGACTAAGCGAGTGGTTTTGCTGTGATCGGTCGCCTGACCCTGCATCCTGCGGTGGGCTTGTCCCAAGGCAGAGGCCGGGCCCACTGCGGGAGGCTGAACTGGGTAGAGGCACCCAGATGTGCTCCTCATCCAGGCAGCCGTGTAGCAAGTGGACACGCAAAGGCTGTTTCCTGAGCTGAGTTAAACGGCATCGAATGAGCCAATTATACAGACTCCGGAGGAAGGCGAATGGCGACGCTCTCTCCTTAACTGTGGTTATTTGATCTGGCTGCGGATGTGATCCCTGAATGTCCGACTACACCCCAGGGAGCCGGAGGTAACCCTCATTCGCTTATTTTCTCAGCCCCCACTATCCTGGGTGCTTCACACGCTTCACACTCTTGCTGGCAACTGGGGAGCACAGTCTTTTTTTTTTTTTTTAATTGATTTCAGAGAGAGAGGAAGGGAGAGGAAGAGACAGATAGAAACGTCAATGAGAGAGAAACATCGACCGGCTGCCTCCTGCACACCCCCGACTGGGGATCGAGCCCACCACCTGGGCCTGTGCCCTGACCGGGAATTGAACCGTGGCCTCTTGGTTTATGGGTCAACACTCAGCTACTGGGCCACACTGGCCAAGCAGCGCTTAGAGGTGTCAGTTCTCTCTCTCTTCCCCGTGGAGCAAGTTCCAAGAGGGCAAGAAACGGGTCCGTCACATTCACGGTCGTAACCCCAACTTTTGTCGAAGTGTGTGACGAGATGACTCTATTACTCCAACCTCCTCTTAACAGAAACCTTATTGCAAAAAGTGAAGGAAGCTCTGAGAGTAACGTTTGAATGTCTATCCTGCCTCCCACTCTAGGAAGTGATATTTACTATTATGCTAAATATTCTTTTCCCGGGGTGTTCAACTCATTCACATTTCCCTCACTCCCAGAAACCTGGCGTACTTGGCTCTCACCCCCGACGGCCCAGTGCTCCGAGAAGCTCATCACCGGATGGGCTTAGCTGAGTTGAAACTCCCACACGAATTCCCCGATACCGCTTTTGCCAAAGAGTCATTTCCAAGACGGGTCTCACTGTTAATTATCCGAAGACATAAAACACACACTCTCACGTGCGCAAAGACCTGTACTAATTAATGATGCTGCTGTAAGGAAACTCCCCCAGCCGCGCTGGTGACGGGCCACTCAAGTCACGAGACGTGCGTCTGAAAGAGCTCCGCTTGCCCCCCCGTTTTTCCAGGCCTGTGGGTCCCATCTGTTGGCAACGGCAGTCACTTAAAATGTCCAGGGCCCGGATCCTGGAATGTCTGATAGAGAATAAACCAGGTATATCCGGGGATGCACATCCCCCTGTAAACCACCTGCAGTGCTCGGTTCCTTTTGAATCTGGGAGAGTTTAATATCATTAAAGCAGTCACGAACTTGTCTCTTAGCAAGTCGCCTTTGGGCTAACACTGAAATCCCGTTTTTAAGATTTGCCACTCATGCCTGAGTCGGCCGTGGGGGGAGGTCCGGGAGAAGGCCGGTGTTTGGATGTGGGCGAGTTTAAAACAAGCCGTTCACACAGAAACCGTGGGCGCGCTGAACGACCTCCCGCGGCATTCGCGAGCTTCCCGAGGAGCAGGAATTCAGAAAAAGGCCCTTTGCTCACCAATAGTTCCAACCTCCCCGTGAGCCAAACAATAATCATAATACCACCGTGTCTTTGCAGGGTGATTTGTAATTTACAGAGACGCATGATCTCACCGAATCCACTCTCCCGCTCTCCCGGGCCTGTGAGCTGCGGGCGCGACGCGCGGAGATAACCCTGGAGAAGAAAAGCAGCCCAGGGTCTGCGGCGGGTGATGGATGACCGGGGGCCCGGGGCGGCCCGACCTCCCCCGCACTGTGGGCTCTTGTGATTAATTCACCCACTCGCTTAGGAAGTTTCTTTCCATCTGAGAAAATTAAAAACACCACTCTCTGGACAGGAATGCTGGATCATAAATGAGAACCAAATAGAAAAGATTTACACAAAAGCACAAGCTCAGCAAAAGAGAAAACTTAGAAATCGCTAATAAGGTATAAATCAAGGGGAGGCTATTAGCAAACCCCTGGTGAGGGGGAAAAAAGCCTTTTAAGTGATTTGCTGAACTCTGAACAATGCCACCCTCCCTGCGGCTGTCAACTGTCTGCAGGGTGATTTGGCTCCTGCCCATCGGCACTGCCACGGAAACGCGCCGGTGTGAAGGGCTGGCCCCGTATGAGAGAGCACCAGGAGGAGGCGCCTGGCTACCGCACCCGTCACAGAGTTTAGAGCCGCAGGGCCCCCCTCGGCCGTGCCCTCCCCAGCAGGCCCGGGGCTCAGAAATACTCTAATGTGTGAGCAAATCAGTAGGGAGATGGGTGGACGGGCGGAGTGACGGATAGAAGGATGGACGGACGGATGGATGGATGGATGGATGGAGGGAAAGAAAGAAGGAGGGAGGAGGGAGAGAGGAAGGAAGGAGGAAGGAAAGAGGAGGGAGGGAGGAGGGAGGAGGAAGGAGGAGGGAGAAAGGACTGACTCACTCCTTTACTGACGAGGAGCTGAAGGGCAGAGGGCTGCTAATTTGCCTGAATCACCAAAAAAATTTGGTGTGAGAACCGGGGCTACCTGGCTGTTCAACCCCAGCCCAGTATTTCCAGTCTAGAGTTTCCTTTCTTCCATTTGTCTCTTTTAACATTAACCATATTGATTAACAACATAACCTTTCTAGTCACCGGGAACCCCTTCTGGAGGGGTAGAGAGTGGACCCTTGAGCAATGTGGGGGTTCGGGAAGCTGACACCCTCCCACCCTTCGACTCCCCAAATACCGCAGCTGACCCTGGTGTCCGTGGAGGATGGGCCCCGGGACACCTGCCCCTCCCCGCAGACAGCAAACTCGTGGGCGCGCGTCCCCGTGTGAAACGACACAGCCAGCCCTCCGCACCCCGGTTCCCCGCCTCGGGCCGGGCGCGGTTTCGGTCGCGGCTGGCTGAATCTGCTGCCTGTGGCTCTGAGCGGCACAGCTGCTCTTGCTCCTGGGGAAGGGGTTTCTCTCTAGAAGCTTCCACGGCTCTCCGGCGGGTGCGCCAGGGCGTTTCCGCTCGGCTGTTTCCCGGTGCACGTTTCCAGCTGCGGCCCGGCTCGGGAGCAGCTGGGCGAGGTACTTGCCCGGTCGAGGGGTTCATGATGCAGCCTCCTGTGTCGGCAGCCGTCCTGCAGCTGCAGCCTCTCTCCAGGGTGTCGTGGTTCATCCCGAAGTTGTGGCCCAGCTCGTGCGCCAGGGTCACGGCCGCGCCGAGGGGGCTGTCCGAGTGGTCCTCCAAGAAAACACAAGAGCACAGGCTTACCGCTCACATCTCCCCAGCCTGCTTCCCAGTCCCCCTGCTCCCAGGCGGGTACTTTTCTCAACATTTCGCTGGATCCATGCCCCTAGAAGGAACCCATAGAGAGCCACGTTATTGAGTTAAAACTTTAAAAAACAAACAAAACCCGGCCGGTGTGGCTCAGTGGTTGGAGCGCCAGCCTGTGCTCCGAAGGGCCATGGGTTCGATTTCCGGTCAAGGGCATGTACCTTGCAGGTTCGATCCCCAGGGTGTGTGTGGGAGGTAACCAATGGATGTTTCTCTCTCACGTCGATGTTTCTCCCTCCCTTCCACTCTCTCTAGAAATCAATGGGAAAATATCCTCAGGTGGGAACTGACCAAAAAAAAAACTTAAAAAAAGATTTGACACATCCAGTGAAACCAGCGTGGGGCCCTTCTGCTGAGGGGCCTGCGGCGCAGGGACACACGCAGGAGTCCTACGTCTCTCCATGACAGAGCCAAAGCGACCGCCTCCATCCCGTTTCCTGCTCCCTCCTGGGAAACGCCCTCCCACTGACGAAGCAAAACGCCGTCCACATCACAGGAAGGTCTCAGTCCTCGGCGGGTAACAGAAGGGCCACTTTACCCATGACTGAGATGCCGTGGACGGAGAGCTGGTCGGGGAAACGTCCCCAAGACGTCCTGCTAGGACCTGGGCGTTGCTACCGAGAGCGCCTCTTCCCGTCCGCCGGGAGACGGCTCCTTGGAAAATTCACAACAACTCACGAAGAACCCCAAGCGCGCCGAGCAATCGCTTGGAGACTCACTGAATTGAGTCTGTTGGGCTCCCTCGCACCGGCCCCTTCCGTTGTCAGGTGGGCTCTGGGAATGGAAGGAGGTGCCCGATTCTTGGGCTTGGGGTGCTGGGATTCCCTCAACCTTTGGCTTGATTTGGGGAGGCAGTCGGCTCGGCTTGGCCGCCCCGGCTTGGTGGAGCGCATGGATGGCTTGGCTAACTAGGTATTAAAACGAACTAAAAATATATTGTTACTTAGCTTTAACAAACTAGAACTAGTTAACTAGGGAGTGTGACCTGCAGAAAGCAGGCCCACCAAGGGTGTTTCTGTGACGGAGGCACCTAACCTGGATCCTGCTTCTTGCTGTCCTCGCTCGAGATAAAGGGGTTTCCCAGAGGCTTCCAGGAAACGGGGTGCTAGTTTTAGAGAAAGCGTCATCCTCAGACAGACAGTCTTGTGGGGCCCCTCGGAAGGGTGCGCTCCTGTATGATCCTATGGGTGTGCTAGTGGTTACGGCCGGGCCTAAGAAAAGGGTGGCACGTCAGGGAGCCCCGTTACTCCCAGAGTAGGTGAAATTCCTCATAAATGACTTGGCTTGGGCTTTCCAGCTTCCTGGTGTAGGAAGCTGCGCAGATACGTTTCGGGAAGCCCACCCTCGGGGGTAACGCAGGCCGGCGAGGAGACGTGGTCGAGCTCAGCGCGTGATGGGCTGGACTGAGCTTTACTCTGGCTCAGAATTCAGGGACTTCATCCTTACAAGGCGACTCTGCATCTGCTGCTTCTTTGCCACTGAATATCCTGGTTTTGCTTTTCATTGCCAAATTGTTTTACATTCTTCCATGCACGGGTGGTTATAATCAGAATGTCCCTGAAGAACCCTGGTAAACAGCTTACATTTGTAATGAGGAAAAACAAAAGCCACCTCTTTATTTATGGCATAATCCCCAACCCAAGACTGTTTGAGGCCGGTGTGATACAAGAGCGTGGCGTTAAGCTGCCAAAATGAATGACTGCCCTGTCCTGGATTAGGAGCCCTGGCCCCTTGCTCCCGCCCTCCTTCCTCTCCCATCTGTGAGTTTTTGAATGAGGTGTGGCTGCCCATGAACTTAAGTTCCAAGACGCTGGGAGAAAGTCTAGAGGTTTTCCATCTGGTGGAGCAGCTGACCTTGCTTATGGGTGAATGTTACAGACACTGGAGGGGAGCAGCCGTGTCTTCCCACCTGACGCTTCTCTCACGTGCGGAGTAAGCAGGGAATGTGTCTAAGGCGGGTCTCGGCCGCTGCCCACTGGGCCAAACGTACGTCCTGTTGAGGAGCCTCGGCCTGAGGACTCTCACTGCGGGCTGCATATTTGCTTTCATTTCCCACATTCATGCTCAGCTTTTTTTTTTTTTTTTAAGTTAGGCACCCCTGTACGCTCTTCCAGAAGGAATCTTGGTAAAATGCTTGTATGGAAACAGAATAAGGGGTGTGAATTTAAAAAAGCCACTTAATACAATTGGATTGGTTATAAAACGTTGAAGCGCCGAGCACCCGCCATGCCTGTGAGTTCAGCTTCAGCTCTAAAAACATTTGCACGGATTTGAAGTGGCAGAGTCAGTTAGCAGCCAGCCGCGGAGCCACGAAACAGAAAATGAATCCCTCCCAAAACTTTACAGGCGGCTCTGTAAACACAGAGCTGGGGTCTGACTTGAAATTAACCTGGCACCACCAAAAACCAAACTTTCCAGTGGCTTCCCTGGTACAGATCACACACGGGGCTTCCAGGTTCAAGGAAAACCAGACGGGAGCCCATTCAAGCCAGAAATCCAACCCCTCCAAACAGCTTCTCTAGCCTCCCCGCGGGCACGCCAGCCTCCCCGCGGACACTCCAGCCTCCCCGCGGACACTCCAGCCTCCCCGTGGGCCCTCCAGCCTCCCGTGGGCTCTCCAGCCTCCCCGTGGGCTCTTGTGCCTCCCTGCGGGCCCTCCGGCCTCCCCGTGGGCCCTCCAGCCCCCCGTGGGCTCTCCAGCCTCCCCGCGGGCCCTCCGGCCTCCCCGCGGGCCCTCCGGCCTCCCCGCGGGCCCTCCGGCCTCCCCACAGGCTCTCCGGCCTCCCCACGGGCTCTCCAGCCTCCTCATGGGCTCTCCAGCCTCCCCACGGGCTCTCCAGCCTCCTCATGGGCTCTCCAGCCTCCCCACGGGCTCTCCAGCCTCCTCATGGGCTCTCCTGCCTCCCCACGGGCTCTCGTGCCTCCCCACGGGCTCTCCAGCCTCCCCACGGGCTCTCCTGCCTCCCCACGGGCTCTCCTGCCTCCCCACGGGCTCTCCTGCCTCCCCGTGGGCTCTCCAGCCTCCCCACAGGCTCTCGTGCCTCCCCGTGGGCTCTCCAGCCTCCCCACGGGCTCTCCTGCCTCCCCACGGGCTCTCCAGCCTCCCCTCGGGCCCTCCGGCCTCCCCACGGGCTCTCCTGCCTCCCCACGGGCTCTCCAGCCTCCCCACGGGCTCTCCTGTCTCCCCACGGGCTCTCCTGCCTCCCCACGGGCTCTCCTGCCTCCCCGTGGGCTCTCCAGCCTCCCCGTGGGCTCTCCAGCCTCCCCACAGGCTCTCGTGCCTCCCCGTGGGCTCTCCAGCCTCCCCACGGGCTCTCCTGCCTCCCCACGGGCTCTCCAGCCTCCCCACGGGCTCTCCTGTCTCCCCGTGGGCTCTCCAGCCTCCCCACGGGCATATGCTTCTGTGAACTCCCAGCTGCCCAGAGAGGAGGAAACCCTCCCTCGTGTGTACCCACTAAGAAGATGGGGGCAGACAGTGTGTGGAGGGAAAACCAGAGTCAGCAGAACAAGCCTCCCGCCCCCCCTTTCATACAATGGAATATTCACAAATGTTCTGTTTGAAAAATGAGGAGGGATTCGCGGTTTCTTGGAAGGACTAGGTTCTGTTTGTTTAGTGGGGATGGTGGAAGGGTCTCTGAGGACACTCCCTGTCTGAGGGCTGGTGCAGAGGGGACACCCTGCTTTCAGAGCAGGGACAGCATTGGCCGGCGGTGGAACCTTCCCTTTAATTATGGGATGGACCGGAGCAGGAGTCCCCCGTTGGGCAGCCCGTCAAAGCTGCCTCCCTCTTAAATCCATAAGAAACAAGTCCCAAATATTCCTCCCGTTTTATTTCCTTTTACAAACACACATAGCCCATGTATGACAAAATGATCCTTGTAAAGCAATAAACCCGGGCCTCCGCCTCCAAGAATAAGGTTATTATGCAGACCGATTGGACACTGGCTAGGAGGTATGTCAAGCATTTGTGGCGGTAAGTGGTTAAAAACCTCAGACTTCTGGCTGTTGGGCCTGGAGGCAGAACCATCAGAAAACCGTTCTAACGGTTATGTTTGGTGAGACCGCAGGCTGTCCACGAGGCGGAGAGACGAGGGCAACCCCGGTGCCCTGGCTCATCCCAGCGCCGGGAGGGAATTCCTGGGCCGGACCGCTCTGACCCAAATCCCAGTTGGGACTTTTTCTCCATAAATGGGGAAGACTGGTCTGCACTGAGCTATTTTCACACGCTCACCTTCCCAGGGTGCAGATCGATGCATTTCATAAGCAGCCCCTAAAATACTGTGGGATGTATAAGATCACAGACAGAGCTAGAAGGAAGGTAGAATTAAATCTAAAAAGCATTGCCCTGGCCGGTGTGGCCCGGTGGTTGGAGCGTCGGCTCATGCACTGAAGGGTCGTGGGTTCGATTTCCCAGTCAAGAGCATGTACCTGGGTTGCAGGTTCAATCCCTGGCCCCTCCCTTCCTTCCTCTCTCTCTAAAAATCAATGGAAAAAATATCCTTCGGTGAGATTAACAACAACAGCAACAAAACTCTAAAAAGCATTAACAAAAAGAACCTGATTTCACAAGGTCTGGTGAAAGTAGAGATTCCCTGGGAACTCCTCGAGGGGGATGGGACCCTGCTGTGATGCCTTGGCGACCCCGGCTTACCATGACAATGCCGCCAGACTGCTCCGCAGTGCACATGCTCATGATGGGCGCCATGCCGATGGTGGTCCCTTGGAAATAAACCCCACTAGGAAACAAAAGAAAGGAGGTTCTTTAATACAGAATGAAGACATTTTCTAATATATAGTTTTTGGTTTTGAACCTTTAATGAGAAAAAATATATCAAGGTCAAGAACCGTGGGCGTGTGGCATGTAACTGGGTCAAGGGTTAGGGACACAGGTGACAACAATGACAAGCAGGGTGCATGCAAGCAAAGCGCACACACAGCCACAGAGTGACCTGCATCCCGCTGGAGCTGCAGAAGCCTGTGCTAAGATCGGTAGCTGCTTGGGGGCACGTTGACGGGCAATTTTATCTTTCGCTTCCCCACGATTTATTTTCCAGGTGCATCGCGGCCCCATAACCCTTTCAGATTTCTGTTTTCAAGACTTGACGGCCAGTCCTGACTCGTGTATGTGGAAGGTGTGTTCTGCCTGTTTCCTAAGGGACTGGGGGGAGCTGCTCCTTTCAAACAAGTCTGCTGATGGGAGGGCTGAGAAGGGTCACAGGGAATCGCTGGTAATTAAATTAAATGCATTCAGTGGCTCACGTGATTTTCTGTTGTAGCTGAACTTTGCTCTCCTGGGTAACACGGCAATTAGGACAGAAACCCAAACTCTTCCACGACGTCCTGCTAATGGAGCTCATAAAAATGAAACTGGCAGAAAAGTGGCTGACCCTCTGGAGTCGGCGTAGACGTCAGCACCCACAAAGCCTCAGCACCCTGGGTGGAAGCTTCTGGAAGGGGACTGATGACTTAGTGCCGTTTCCCTTCTGTGGGATCTTAACCAGTGAGTCTAATGGCCTCGAGGCCTGTTGAATGCAAGTGCTTTTAATCCCAACCTCACACATTAAAAATGAAAGTGTATTTGCTGAGTCTCCTTCAAGGGAAACAGATGAGTTATCCATGTTATCTTGGCCAGGTACATACATCGATTTTACATACATTAGTTGAAAAGTTAGGTATTCTGGCAGTGGTCAGTTGGACAAAAAGGAGCATGTATACAACCTTATGTATGTATGTGTATGTGTATATGTATGTGTGTATGTATGTATGTGTGTATGTGTGTATGTACTTATGTATCCACCCACCCACCCCCTGCACTCTTATAGACAAGAGTAGGGATTGCAGATTTTACATTTATATCTATATAGGCCATTTAACAGATGCAATTATATACGTATATAAATGAGAAGGTTATATAAGAGGCTAATTTATTTCCAGATGTTCAAGTTGGACAGACTCCATTTGGGAAAAAAGTCAAAACAAAACACTTTGATTCCACTTTTTAGTAGTTCAGGATTAATCAATGCACAAAATATGAGGCGACCACAAATATCCAAGACAGAGCAAAGAAAACAAACCCTGTGGAAATGGCCAAAGTAAACGACTGGGGAACCCACCAGCCTCAGCTCGATGTGGGCGTTTTCTAAAGAGAGGATGGCGCAGGGCTGGTTTTTTTACTTCCCATAAATGTTCAATAAACTAGATCCAGTGAGTTAAAGAAAAGAGTCTCTACCTCCAAAGCTTTTAATGCAGGGATATGAGCGGCATGAAAATAAAATCAAATAAAATCCTTTTATTAAGGATTTTAATAAAAGTTTATCACTTTGGGAACAGTCTACCTTATATCAATTTAGATTATGATAAGAGTGTCTTTTTTTCCTTTTGGATAAGAAAGGAGTCTGTAACATCTTACGGATGTATTGTTACGTCATAGCCGTGTGTTCCCTCACTGACTGTCCTGGAATTTCCCGTTTACTGTCACCTTTCCCCCCAGACGGGGACCCCCGAGCCGGGAGGTTTCCTTGCGGGACACCGTCATGTTCCAAGCTCCGAGAGCGAGGCTGTTTGGTACCTAACCAGCGCCCGATACAACTCTCCCCGGACTGAGAGTCAGAACTCGAGGTTAACATGTTTCCCTGCTGGTCATCTCGGACCCAGAAAACCGAAGCCTGACCGTGAAGCGGGAGGGGGAACAAGGCTTTCGCTCTCCGAGCACCTGACCGCTGGCCCGGAGGCCTTGTCTTCAGGGGGGCCGTAAACAGTTCCCGCTCAGAACGAAAGAAAGTGAGCTTTAAAAAACAGCCTCCTCTGGACAACTGCACCACAGGCGAAGGCTGGAAAAGTCGCGCAAGGAGAGGGCCCAGGTGACGGAGGATGACTAGGACGCCAGCCAGAGCAGGGGCTTCCCCAGGGCGGGCAGAGGGACTTCCGCAGCAGCCCAGGCCCCGTTGGGCCTCTGCCCCGCGCTGACGGCCGGGAGGCCCCTGGCGCAAGGTCGGGGGGCCCGGGAGAGGCCCGCGCTCCCGGGACTGCGCGGGGGCGCTGGGGGGGTGCCGGGGTCACTCCTTCCTTAAGCAAAGGCCGGGCGACGCACGTCCTACCTGACCAGCTGTGCGTTGTCGTGGGACTTGCGAGGTAGAAGCTTCATCTTCCTCCAGTCCAGGAACTCGTGGAGGCTGGTGAACGGGTCCTGGCTGATGGGGCACTTGTCGATGTCGCTCCACACCTCCACGCCCACCAGCACCACGCGGATGTTCAGCGGCCTGTAAAACTGACGAGGACGGGCGCCTTGGGGGTCCCGCGAGCGGGAACTTGCCGCGCCGCGCTCTGAATCTCATGGACACGCGTGAGGACGCCTGTGCGCTCCCCGACCCGGGCCCGGAGCTGAGGAACGTGTGCGGCGCCCGCGCCCGAGGAGCTGCCCGCCGGGCTCGCACACGTGCCCACCCATTAGACGCTCAAGTTACGAGCCCCGTTTGGCGTCTGCGCTTATTTGTATGAAGCACACATCTCACAGGATTCACTGGCGATTAAAAATGTGCGCAGAGATGTGGAGTCTAGTTAGAGTCGCCACCTTGCAGCGAAGGCCTGCCAGCTCGTACCCGCTGCAAGGGACACAGTGGGCGAGCTAGGATTTTCAGACACTGCCAAGGACACGCGTTTGTTCATTTCAAACGAAATCTTCTACCTTTGAGTTACTGAAAATGCATCTGGATTAATTTGTTGGCAGAGTCTCAGGCTTGGCCGACACCAACATATTCTGTCACCTATCATCAATCTAGGAGCTTTTAATTAAGCGAGAAAATCAATAGCTTTCAGAAAAATAAAGGCGCGCACAGAATTCCTCAGGGCTTTAATGACCATGCTGCTCACGGCCAGGGGCCGGCTGGCCGAGGGTGTCGGGGGAAGATCTGTTACAAAGAAGTTGCCCTTCTGCGGGCTCAGAAAGAAAGCTCAGAGCAAGTCTCTCGTTGCCTTTCTGTCCCCCACCTTTTTTTTTTTTTTTTTTTAATGGTTTTCATTTTATTGGTTTCAGAGAGAGAGGAAGGGAGAGGGAGCAAGAGACAGAAACATCGATGAGAGAGAAACGTCGATGGGCTGCCTGCTGCTGGGGATCGAGCCTGAAACCGGGGCATGTGCCCGGACCCGGAATTGAACCAGTGGCCTCCTGGTGCGTGGGCTGGTCAGGCCATCCCCCATCTTTAGTATTCATGGCCACGCCCCACAGCCCCCTCACCACAAGCAGACTGTCCAGGCAATGTAAGGGTCTTTGATGCCCAAATGCCCCAGGGGTTAGACCACACTCCAGGGCCTCTTTCGGCTCGGATGTCACCTTTGTCACCTCCTGGTTCTCAGTGAGGGATTTCCCACCTGCTGATTGGGCTGAAAATCAATGCCATGTCCCAGAATTGTGGAGCCTGTGTGTCCCTTACAACGGAGAGGCTGCCCTCAGGGCCTTGTTGGCACAGGGCTGGGCTGGTGGGGGCGTGTGCAGGGGCCCGTGGGACCTTCCCAGGGAGACCTGGGAAGAGGCAGGCCTGGCAGTTCTCTGAGGGGTGGGATGCACCCTGTGGGGTCTCTGGATCTAACTGGGAGTCCGAGATGCCCGAGACCGGGAACCTGCCTGGCCGCCAGAGAGCTGGAGGAGACGTGTCCCAGGCCCTGCAGTCGGGCAGCGTGGGCTGGCACCTCCCGCAGCCGCTCTAGGCCCCGGGCCCCGTGCTCGGAGGAGGGAAGTCCGTGGTCCAGCCCAGGACCTGAGGCGGCTCCCTGGCTCCCTGCTCAGTCAGATGAGGTGAGCTTCACTCCCTCCACCTCATTTCCAAACATTTACACAATCTGAGTGATTTAATTACCCGGAGAAAAAACATACCTTGTCAACGTGATTAGCGATCTCTATTAATCGCTGCTTAACTTTTTCCAGGTCTTTTCCTTGCCTCTGAAACTTAACAATTTTAAATGTCAGCATGAATCACCGCAAGCATATCAATCAAAGCGCATCCTCCCAGCTCCTGGAAATGTGAAGTCTCGGGCTTCACAAACCGCCCAGGACCCGCCCTGCCGAGAAATTTCCCATCCGGGATTTTCTGAAACTCCCTGAAATTCGCCCGAGCCAAGTGCTCCTTGGCGTAACTTGTGTGTCGTCCCAGCCTCATAAATGATGGAGGCAGTCACAATTTTGGCAAAGAAAAAACAGACAACTAGAAGGCAGTCCAAAGCCATTTTTCATATTGTCAACTTGATTTTTTTAAAAAAATTGAACTTACTGGGGTGACATTGGTTCACAAAACCATACTTGATTTTAACTTCCTCAGAAACGTCCTTTATATTTGCTTTAAAAAATTAAATGGTAAAAGTAATAGATGCTCATGGCAACCAGTCAAACAACACAGAGGGGAGGGATGGAAAGTTAAAGTCCCGCTCTCCCCTCTGATCTGACCTCCCAGACGAGGGCAGTTTCCTGAGACACTGTCAAGCCTGTTTCATCCCCGGGTGCTGAGTCTCCGAGGAAGTGTCCCCTAATGCATAACATGCGGTAGAGGCAGAAATGAGCACAGAGAAGCTATTCTCAAAAGTTCTAATTAAAAATCAATTAAAAGAAAAAATAACTAACATAACATCGAGCCCTGCACCAGAAGGCAGGGGTTTTCCGCTGCATCTCTGCCTCTTTCATTCATCATTTTGGTCAAGGACATATCAGGCATTTTTTAAACTGAACTTTCCCCCCAAAACCGTTTAGAATGTGTCCTACGGCCACCTCCCAGCTCCCCGAGGAGTCCCCGCTTGGAGAGCTTCGCTGCAGAGCAACTGGCTTTTGTTTTGGTTTTTGTTTTCAGGCCTTGGCCTTTATTTTGTAACATCAGATACATTTTTAATATTTTATACTTTATAATATCAGACAGCCCCTTTTTCCATGGGTTGTTTACAATGCTTTTAAGGGCCATTGGAAAACGAGGTCAATTAAAGCAAACAATAGCCCGCTAAACATTTTCTTTCCCCCCTTTTTTTTTTAAAAACCGGCTGCACCGAGACATTTCAAGGCGCTCTTACCTCTCGGTTGTCTGCGACGATAACCAGCTCTACGTACTTGGTCATCTTGAGGGTCTCTCGCTTACGCTGCCGGAAGGAAACGTGGATTTAATTCCCCTGGGCGCCTCCCCGGGCTCCCGGACAGCGCCGCCCTCTCCCCACCCAAGCGCTTTAACTAAGGGGCCTCGGTCTTCACCGCCTCCGTCCCACCCCGACGCTCACCTCCAACCCCAGCGACCTCCGGAGAGCCGCATCAGCTCGAGTGACCGGTTTCCCTTCACCTGGGAAATCTTTACAAAGGGATTTCATGTTCCAGCCAAGTCCCTGACTGTAGGGTTGGAACAAACACTTGCAGAAACACGCAACAGAAACACGCAACAGAAACATGCAACAGAAACACGCAGCAGAAACACGCAGCAGAGCGCTCCCCGGACCAGGAGCTGGTCAACGGCGTTCACCCCGGGCCGGGTGCAGCACACCTGAAGGTCACTACAGATAATTATGTCCCCGGCTGTTCCCTTTGACTTTAGGGTCCAGTTTTGTGATTTGAGAAAAGCAGGAGAGAATATAATTTGAGCAGCGTTAGGCTTAGGCTTAGGCTTAGGGTTCTCCCTTCTGGAGAAGCACTGAGCTGTCCACGCCAGCGAGCTTGTTTCCTGTGGCCAGTCGTTCAAAAATCTAGTGGGAGGCCACGGAAGACGGGTGGTCTGGGGAGCAGGGAAAAGCCAGGCTGGTAAACAGGGAACAGAGCCAGGCGAGAAAGAGGTGTTAGGAGGAAAACCAGAAAGGAACACAAAGAAAAAGAAACAGTGTCAAGAAAAAAAAAGCCGCTGGAGAAAAGGGATTGGGCGGGAGCGACACAGCTGGAAGGATGTGGACCCTGTATCCAGGCCTGAGACAGGGAAGACCCAGCCGCAGAAGCAGGAGCCCCTCACACAAAGGTGGCCTCGGCACTGGGCTACATTTTAATCAGGTTTCCTCAAAAAAATTTGCACTCTTCCATGAATTACTGGGAGAATCCCAAAGGCATTTTTTTTTAGGAGAAAAAGAGCAATTCATGGAGGGTGGTCTCAAAAAGCAAACATTGAAAACAAAAAAACAAAGCCTTCTGTTTCTGCAATAAAGCGCAGTTGGAGGAAATGGGGCTGAGCCGGTCGCGGGCCTTATGACGGATACCTCTGGTTTATGAGTTAACTACACACCGCTTCACGTTCAAAACCTGCCCGTTATAACCAGGCTTCCAGACAAAAGACAAACGGACCGAGGCATGCTTTGAATCAGCTTTCTGGTCCCGCAATCCTGAGGGAAGCATCTTTTATAAAACAAACCCCCATCAGGCCGGGACCTTGCAAACAGATTTTTACAAGAAAAATGTTTGTGTCCCAGCAGCGTTCCCTGCGCCGCCCAGCTGTGCTGATTCATGAGTTTTGGGATCCCCCAAAGAAATCTGGACACCTTCTGTGGGAAGAAAAATAGAAGCACTGTGAAAGGTGTAATTTCTCAAACTTCTACAGCCTTAGAAGAAAAAGATGTTGAGCGTTGTAACTATATGTTGTAGGTGTGTTTTATGGTGATAACTACATATTTATGAAAGAAACAAGATTGGCCCCCGTGGTATCCACCGCTGGCCACAAAGTGAGACACCGTCCCAAAGTGTGAGGCTCTCTCTTGCCATGTTCCTCGCTGAGGCGTGAGAGAAGCAGAAACCTCTCCCCATCCTCAATTCCCTGATTCACAGAGGACAGATTCAGCGAATTATATAGAAGAAAATAAAGTTCTATAAATGAAAAAAAAAATTGATCTCCCATTGAAAAACTCCTAGAAGGGGCCCTGGTTGTCTGGGCGTTTACACCTTTGAGTCTGCAAAGGGGTGAAATCCATGACCGGGGATATTTCCCAGCGGCCTTGGACTGTCATCTAGAAAATGCATCATTCCAGAGAATGAAAGCAAACACATGAGCACCGTTTTCCTGTCTCCGCAGTTTTCAGAGAAGCCCAAGTTTTCTCATGAGTTCAGAGAATTGCAAGCTCAGAGAGAAGCTAACCACATCATAATAAAAAGCCCCCGAGGGAGCGGCCGGCTCAGGGCCACGAAGGTTTCCGTCCATCAGCTGCGCACACAGAGAGGCTTAAATGACCTCCACATGGTCTCCACCTACTCGGGCCGCCCTGCTCTTTAAAAAAATCATATTTAACATTTTTGATATGCAGAGCAACATTGGAAACTGGGTGCCTGGTTAAATGTTCATGTCTGGGGTTATAAACAAAAGCCCTTCCCCAAATAGATGGGAACACACGCCCGAGCGTGGCCCAGGGGTCTCTGCCCCAGGTGGAGACCCAGGCGTCCCGAGAGTCTTGCTCAAGAGGGAAGCAGTTCCTGGGCCTCTCCCGTCATCACGGCCAAGTCCCCGGAGACAGACTATCCCCCGAACACGTTGCAGTGAGAACTCTGGCACTGGGAACTTAACACGGCCCAGCTCCAGTCAGAACAGCACCGTCGAGATTAGGGTGACAATACATTCTCACTGTAACTTTCTTTTTTTTGTTTTGTTAATCTTCACCAGAGAATATTTTTTCTATTGACTTTTAGAGAGAGTGGAAGGGAGGGAAGGGAGGGGAGAGAGAGAGAGAAACATCGATGTGAGAGTCATTGATTGGCTGCCTCCTGCACGCCCCCGGCTGGGGATCCAGCCCACAACCCGGGCCTGTGCCCGGACCGGGAATCGAACTGTGACCGCCTGGTTCCTAGGTGGACGCTCAACCACTGAGCCTCCCGGCCGGGGTCATGATCACTGTTTCTACCACCACTGCCGGGGCTTCTGCCGACCTGTGCACACGCTCAGAACCACAGCCTGGGTCCACGTCACCACGGCCACTCTTGAGGGGACACAACAGTGTCACCCTGACCCCCCCCATCCTGTTTGTACTTAGCAGTCAAAGCAAACGCCACCTTCTAGAAAAAGAATATATGGGCGTTTGCATTTGGCTCATCATTGGGAAAAATAGCATAGATAATCCCTGAAGAAATGATTATTTTCAACAATGGACATTTGCCTCTGGGATGCATGGTGGGATTTTCCTTAGGAGCAGATCTGCGGAGCCTCTGCCGTCCTCCGGGCTGCTGGGGCCGGGGTGAGAGTGAGTTTACACCCGAGCCCATGGCTGGGGGGGAGGGGGCTCAGTGGGCTCTGCAGGCTGGACTGACAAACACGCGGGGCAGGGAGCAGACTGAGCAGCTCGGACCGGGGGTGCCCAGGGAAATCTAACGGGCAGCCTTGTGAAAACGACAAACAGTAGCTCGGCTTCGATCATGGCCGGTGCACACGCCGAGCCCAGATTTACTCTCACGGCTTGGCCCCGGGAGATGCAAATGGTGCAGAAAAAGCTCAGCCTGCAAACCAATTTTTGCAACAGTTACCATTTCGTGGGGGCAGGAGAATCAAACGTAAATAAGATCAGCGAGCTGCAGTTACATCGAATTCGGAGAGTAAAAGAAAGGCCGTGTAAAAATAAAAAACAAAAAATAAAGAATAAATAAAGGCAGGTAGGGAGCAGGTGAGCATCGGGAGCTGGGATGTGCCCCTTTCCTGCTCACCACAGGTGCTGCCCCCCACCACCGGGGACATCATTCCGGTCCCCAAACACTCCACTTACTGAAAATTACTTTGCGTATCGTTTTCATTATATAATTGCACTTTAAGTCAAGGACATTTTCTCTTCCATAAAAACAATTACAACTGTTTCCAAAGAAATACTGAGAGTGAGCCGAGCTGCCTCGGATGCCTTCCGTTTCAATTTAGAGGTCCATTTCCACTTCAGCATGCATTATTAACAAAACAACATTTCTATTCAGGTTTTCCACACTTCCCTAGACATCAAAATGACGGGAAATTACCCTGCCAATCACAGCTGAGAGAGCTGTAGGCTCCGTTAAGAAATTAAAATACGGCCGGTGAGCAGGGCCCAGGCGGGCGCCTCTACGCGAGACGTGAGCGTCGTTTCAGCTGCCGGGTGATAAACCTCACGGCGTGGATGCCGCGTGTTCATCAAGGTGCTCAGAGCAAAGCGCCCCGGGAACAACGTGCGCACTCTCCGTGTTACCCCGACGGGGAGCTCCGGCTGCATCACCTCTTCTCCGAGGTCGGCCGTCAAAGGGCGGCTGTTCCAAGAGCGAAATAAACAGGCGCGGGGGGCGATGGGGGTGGCCTGTGCCCCCCGCTCTGGGATC